CAATATCCCGAGACCCGCAGCCAAGTCTCGAGAATTCAATTAAATATTCATATCAACTGAAACCCCAATATCCTCCAATATCCCGCAGCCAAGTCCCGAGTTTTCAATTAAATATTCATATCAACTGAAACCCCAATATCCTCCGATATCCCGCAGCCAAGTCTCGAGTTTTCAATTAATGAAACTCAGCGTCTGCTAGTCACTGCAGTGCAGACAACCGCCAAGCCTGCGTCGTCTTTTGCAGACCTGCAGAACAAAAGCGGCTGCGGCAATCACGGAATGCATGGCAGGGCAGGTCTGTAATGATGGGTCTTTAGGTCGGCCTCCTGGGCTGCCTTGATTTATGTTAGCGGCTTATTGGCATTGCTGACTTGGCCGGTGCACGTACGGGTGGCCATTAAATGAATGTAGATGGAATCCTGATTGTAGGTTACAATTATTATTAGGATTCTCTGTTGTAGCAACATCACTGCATCGCGAACTTGTTTAAATATGAATGGCAAAAAGCTATTTTTTCTTTCTATATAAGAGAAAATAAGATAACGAGGTTTAGAAGTGTAGCTACGCTCGTTTTCTTCGATGAACTATATTGTCTTATGTGGTCAACAAAAACAAATAATACTATTGAACATTACTGAAGTCCTAGCGAGAAAATTATATTTCCTACGAGTCCAGCTTGCCAAGACGCTGATTTCATACAACGTATTCTGAGCTTGTTTCGTTAGAAAAATTGCAAAATGCTGTTGTAAGATCCTGCAATTACCAAAAAATATTTGCAACGAGCTGTTGTTATGACTAGCAATCATCAAACAATATTTGCGACGTTCTCATATACGAAGAATATAATATCTTGCAATCGCCAAACAATATTTGCTACGAAATGTTGTACGATCTTCCATTCGCCCAACTATAGATCGGATACAAACATCCGTGTGAAATTGGACGCAGGTTCGCTATTCAGCTTACGCCTTCCATGCTTTTGTCGGCGATGCCTTTTGACCAAGACAGGTACGGTTAGCATCATCGATCGACCGTTCAGGCGGCAGTGCTGCGCTTCATTAGTGGGCTTTGTACTGCGCTGCTGCGGCGCTGCTGTTGTGCTGCTACGGCGCTGCTGCGCTGCTGCTGCGGCTCTGCTGTGGTGCTGCTGCTGCGCCGCTGCTGCGCCGCTGCTGAGCTGCTGCTGCGCTGCCGCGGCGCTGTTGCTGCTGCGCTGCTACGGTGCTGCTGTTGCGCTGCTGCGGCGCTGCTGCTGCATTCAAGTATATAGACGCATAACTGCACGCATTGTGCAGATGTCACTGTAGTGCAGTGCCAGAGGTAGTCGATTCGGTCCGCTAAATTATGCCATTGAATATAAGAAATTACGATAAAGCAGGGAAAATTTTTCAAAATTTCAACGACTGGAAATCGATTCTTTTCTAGAAAACAGTTTAGTATAGTAAGTTATATGATCTGAATCATAAATCTTGAATACTTTGAAGCCAGGATCAAAGTTACAATGTTCGTACGTAATTGATTTAATTTATTAGGAGGTACTTATGCACAGCATTCAAGTTTTGTAAATGCGGAACGTCGGAAAAAATTCTGTTTTGCACATACGATTTAGGTTACTTAAATCGATGATCACCACACATACCAACGAAATTACTTGCAGTCCCGTGGAATTTTTACAAAGAAATTGAATTCCATAAATCCTATAGAAACTTATACAAGAGACTCCTATTTGTTTTTATTGCTTCAATCGACCTTGCATCCTTTCATATGGTATCAAAAAGTAACTAACAAATTCAACCATGAACAAAAAATTTACGGCGTACTTTGGCGACTTGCTTAGTTAGCTACAAATCAGCGAAGAAAATCCTTCCAACGTTAGGATTTTGTAGGCCATTGTGGAATATAAAACAATATGTTACACATTGCTAAGTTGAGAAGGATTATCGAAAGCAATTGAATTTAGTTAGTGCTATATTCCATGAACGAAAAAATGGCAAGTAAGAGAACCCGCATTAATAAAATTGAAACTATTGATATGGGAATAATCTAAAAATCTATAAATAAAAAATCTACAAAAAACGAGTATTTGTAGATTTTTTTAGCTCATTTCCCTTTGAGGTCGTCCCTTAAATGTCGAATTAAACACGATTATGACAATTCTGCTAGAAAATGTTCGTTATTAGGATTATTGGATAGCTAATGCAAATTTGACATAAAAAATTGGAAAAGCTGGCATTCAAAAATTAAAATACTCATCAGGTTTGGCCGTATAATATTTAGTTCAATTTCATTTAAATTTTGTTAGAGGCTGACTCGCATATCAATGTTCATTTAATTCATTTTTCGGATTTCTGTTCATGCGAATGCAAGAAATTTAAACCGTTGAAATGCAAAAATGACCCAACAGAATAAATTTCCATTGAATGTATGCACAATTAAGCTATTTTAATTTATGCGGGCATAGTTCCGTTAAATAAGACGATGATGTAAATAGTTTTTTGATAGATAATTCCATTAAACAGGTTACACTATAATTTAATTATGACAATGACTTTTGAAATGATTATTAAATAATGCCCAATTATTTGCAGTTTTATGGATGAAAAATAGCGTACCTTGACTTGAAGTTTCTTAAGCTAAAACGTAGCGAGGTAGGCCAGTGGGGACCTATGACGAGTGCACAAACTGTACATGCTCATCGTGCTGCGGCTGTCACTCTACTGGCTCCTTTGCCTAGCTGTAGGAGATGACATTTTTGTATCTTCTCAGGGTCGAGTTAATTGGAATAAACAAGTATTTGTAATCTTGCTTGTTCCAAGAAAAAAAAAACGCGCAAGGATTACACAGATTGCAAAGCTTAATATTTTTATAGAATAAGAGTTTTCTCAAAGATATTCACTAACAGGCTCTCCCTAGAAAACAAGCTAGGTTTTCAACAAGGGTTTGTCGCTAAGAATTTTGATAGAAATAAAAGGCGAAGGAAGGCTTCACACTGTAATTTTTACATCATGTGTGAGCGATTGCTGTAGTTGCACGGTAGTCAGGAAGACAAATATTTTCATTGCTTTTATGTTAAAAATAAACGGAGGTCCAGCAATGAAATAAGATTTCAGACGTCGCCTTATATTTCGCTCATAGATCGACGTATCCAGGTTACTTTCCTTACCTTATCTGTAGCCTGTCCAGTGAACCAACAGCCCCTTAGTAACTGAAATTTTTGGATCCGCCTTTTGATCAGCGAAAAAATATCTTCTCATGAACCTACGCCTGCAAAGCATGACCGCAGAAATGACGCTCGAGGAATTACAGAGAACTACGGAGAACCTGGCCCAAGGGTGCCGCGACCTGCAAAACTCGTGCGAGAAGCTTTACCACCAGCGGAACCGTGAGCTGTACCGCGTACATGAGAAAGAAAACGCCATACTTCGAGTCAAGTCTTTGGCAGTGCAAATGAGGCGCTTGTTGTACGAACTTGAGACCAATATACAGGACATTAATGACTTGAAGAACATTAGTGACTCCAGGCAATATGAATCTAAGATGGCGGTTTGCCGTGCGTGTTTGGACAAGTTGATGAACGAGCTGCAGCAAGTCGACCCACGAAACCTAGCCAGCATGGAAACTTCAGTCATCACTTGCGGCGAGATTACGGTTCTGGTGGATGAGTTGACACACGCTCTGTGCAGGGCGCACGACCTACGTGCACCACGCATCCAGAATCCACTGAACGTCTTTGAGTTCGGTGACCTCAACCGCCTGGACGCATGCGTCATTTGTTAAACGGAGTGAAACACGTCAAGTTGAGAGAAGACCGTCAAGTAGATGGAGACCTATCAAAAATCAAGTTTGTGAACAATTATTAAGTTGAATAAAATAGAAAAGGTATGCGAAACAGTAAGAGGATGACTGTTAAATTTGTTTTAAAGATACACCACTGTAATTAAAGAAGACTGGATACGATTTATTGGAAGTTATCATCGTTAACCTCTCGTTTCTGCACCTACGGTTCTGGCAGCAGTTCGGACTTGAAAAATTGACTGACTACCTTACATTGGAATTGTATTTTTTAGAGGCTATGTGCATACACTCGAACTGCTGAATTGAGACCCGTGTGGTATTCTTACTCGTATATCTATTGGCTAGATTCTGATTGTTTGTAACACACTGCTATATGCAATGAATTTTTATTTTAAATTTGCCATTTCACTTCCCTATTTGTAACAGTGTTATATTTCACAGAGCATTGTAATATACGTAGTTTGATGCAAAGAGAAGCCCAGAAAAATTATCCATATGACTTTTCCTAACGTTTTTGTCATACCAGAGCGCAATGTGAGGAACGTTTTAAGCAGTATTTTTAACTTGAGGCATTTTGCTGCTCATATTCATGATGTTCATCAGGCGAGCGAACAGGTTATGAGAAGAGTAATTTTAAAAGTAACAACCAGACGTGAGCGATAATGAAAACAAATAGTTAGTTCATTGAATAACGCGAGAAAATCTTACAAACGTCACCATCGAGACCTATAACTTTGATCTAACTGGTTTATCTGAAAGCAGTGGCAGTGGCGAAATATTTAATTCCGAAATCCTGGCGAAATGATCACTGTTCCAATGATTTACAAACCATTTGTAACTAAGAATTGGTGCAATTTTGATCCATTTAAACACTCATTTTCTAATAAAATATAATTGATTTATTATCTACAAGATTTGCTGAATTCTTCCCTTAACTAAAATTGACTTTTGATGAAATTTCCATGGATGGAAATTTTTTGACTTTGATGGAGCGCATGCACACCAGGTTGAATGCATATGCAAAGTTACAGAGAGTTACGTTCATTAGTTTGGAAGATATTTTAGATTCCCTGTGTACATTTCAAATCGTGGAGACCAGCTAAAAAGCAGGTCGTAAAATTGTCTGTGAAGTTCAACATTGAATTAAAAAAAATCCCCACTTGTTTATCCGCATTTTAGCCTTACGTAAAAGTTGGCACTAAGGAACGGACGAGTGACCTAGCCGGTTGTGTTGTAATTACGGGGTCCCACGAAAATGGCACTCAAACCATCCTTTGTCCAGGTATATTATTCTATTCAATCTCTTGTAGTGTCCAATACATGAGATTTTGACTCAAATATCTACTAGGTTGACAATGATTTATCAATTTCAGGGTTTATGGCGGAGCAGTGTGAGGAATTTTTCTTCAACAGCGGTCAAGTCTGCTCAGCCTCTCACTGTTCGAGATGCCCTCAACAGTGCCCTCGACGAAGAAATGGCCAGAGACGACAAGGTCTGTGTTAAAGCTGACTTATTTAGCAGAGCGCTATGTATAAATGCATTAATTTGAAGTTATTTTGAACTCCTTAGCTTTGATTTTGTTAGGTTCGTACGACGTTCTGTAAAGTGTAAATAATAAAATATTAACCCTTCTTCATTCTTCATTTCTCCTTGGCTTAGGTAGGTATGCAACTTCATTATTGTATTTGCATTCAATGTATAATTTGATATCATATGTTTGATATCCAAATATACATTCAAAGATTCAATATCATATGTTTGGAAACTTTCAATTTAAAATTTGTATGACTATAAAACATAATTTCTTTCTGTCTTAGGCCTATTACCTACTTTTAATGGCTCTGTTTAATAATTAAACTTTGATTCAACTCTAAGCCTGGCCTAATCCATCATCTGTGTGCCTTGATTATATTTTTTTGTGCCACATTTCATTTTTATTGATATTGCTGCAGTGAAAAAAAAATCGGGTGATATTTTGAGCTGTAACCATGACAAACTCAGTTTTGAAGCTGTAAAAAAATATTTGTTTAGCCTAGCTGTTAATGAGTAATGACAAGGACAAGACAACCTCATTGCCAGACCTTCAAATCAAAATTTGGTATATTGAGCAGAACTGCAGAAGTTTCCTGATATTTCAGGTACAGCTTCAGGGGGATTTTAAAAAAAATCCCTGATAAATNACCTGTATGTGAGTTCATGACTTTCAACTTCTCCATGCAAGCCATTGATCAGGTTGTCAACTCTGCGGCTAAAATGTTCTACATGTCCGCTGGTCAGGTGGGTATTGCCATGCTTGCTGCAGCTTCCCAAAAAAGATATGATTAATGTGTAGGTAGTAAACATGCCTTAAGTTGGAAATTCATTTGCAATGTTCAAGTTCCCTTAAGAATGAGAAATGTATATTGCTGTTCAACTTTTTGTTGTCAATCCTGTCTATAGGCAGGTCTGTCTGGGAATTAATAAGATGTTTTGTCATGCAAAAAAACCTTTAGCGATTAAACCCAATACCATATGTATATGTAGGTTTCATACAAATAGTTATAATAGTAACAATGTAGGTATAAAAGTAAAAATGGCTGCTGACTGCCTTGCTTTGCATTTCATCATACCATGTCTCATTTTTAAACACTTTCTAAGGTTTCAATTAGGTATATTTTCTGCTCAACTGCATTTGGTGATTTGTGCATTTGAAGTAGTTTCTGATTTGTATTTCAAGTGATACATTTTAAATTTGATAGCAATGCACCACTGCATGAATTAGTACTCAATTGTAACATTGTGTTAATGATTAATTTATAATTATTTTTTTCCAGTGCCACGTCCCAATTGTGTTTCGTGGTCCTAATGGCGCCGCTGCTGGTGTTGGTGCTCAGCATTCGCAGTGCTTTGGGTCCTGGTATTCTCAGTGCCCACAAAGAATTATAAATGATTTTTTAATTGTTTGGAATTACAAATAATTTTGATGGTTTTTGAAATCTTGTGGTTACTTCTCTTCAAACTGAAAAATAAAGCAGAAGCCATCTATGAATGAAGCCATTTATACATCTCTTGCTTCATTTATTTGTTTACCACTTTACCTATATTAAATTAAAACAGAATATTTCCATCACATTACTTGCAGTTTTCACTGTCAGTGAAACAATCGCGTATACCTAAATTTTTTGCAAAAGTCTACCACTCTATGTACCTTATATTCTTGACTGAAGTGAGGCATACTAATCCAGACTCCAGAGTGGCTTCATGCAGAGTTTGCACGTTGGGTTGCCAAGAACAGGATTTTGGTCTAAAGAGGCACCTACCATATATTATTGAAAATTTGTCACTAGAACTACCTAAACCTTTGTAATTTCTTGCTAAAAATACCTGTAAAGATGCATTTCAAGGGAATGGTGTTGGCAAGATCTTCTGGAGACATAGATTTGGTGCTGATGTGTTGCAAAGATCTTCAGATATCTGCTCACTCTGCAGCCTGAAATTCTAATTTGTTTCCAATATTGATCCATCTGGTCTGTGTCCCTTGTAAGCTCCAAAAAATTATCAGAGTTTGAAAGTAAGACAACTATTCCCTGACAATTAGCCCAAGTTATTAATCTGATATTACAGAGAAAAGTAGAAATCTTTCAACCTTTAATAGGATTTTGTAATTGTGGCCTATATTGGGTTTTCAGGGCCAAGAAATTGCTAGTATTGAGAATTTGTAACCAGTACTCACTTCACCAAAATGTGTAAAGTGTCAATTTTCCAAGTCATGAATGGAGCTTTTCCATAGTTTTGTAGCTGCAAAGTTTCTTTGAATGTATTATCACCTATCAAATGATCAATAACACTAAATGATTGAGCCACAAAGTTTCAAGTTTTTTAAAAGTCCTAGAATTTCAGCCTTCATAGAAAATAAAAATATATTTATTATCTCATAATATTCTAATTTCATGGTACCAGAAACTATAATTTTATCTACCACCAAAATTACAAGTGTATATTCATGTTCTAATCTACTTAGTCATGAATGTAGGTCAGTTCCTTATACTCCTGTTAACACGTTAACTACGTACTGGTACATATGCGTACCACAAAATGTATTTCTCCAGGAGGTAGTGGTACATAATTCAGGTTGCCTAAAATCGGCCAAATCCGAGAACAAAAAAGGATGATAATTCAATGTATACTAGTTTATTTGTAGTTTCTGCTATAAAAATTCCATTTATTTTCTTTTTGCAGCATTTAAAATTTAATTTGGAAGTACCCCTATCATGAATTTTAGCCAGCCAACGCAATTGAGAAAAACTAAATCACGGAATTTGTCCAAGAAAAATGACCGTCTGGCAACCCTGCTTAAAAAAAGTACAAAAAATGAAATAATAGTACAAGATGAAGCAATCGTAGTCAACGTGTTAATGTCTGACTGTCAGGAAGGTCAAAATAATTTTGATATCAATTGATTAGCAAATTGATCATCAATAAACCTATGTGACAAAGAAAATGCATTCATCTATTTGAAGTGGTGGGATATTTAACAAGGGGCAAAAACATGTATTATTTAAGCACTTTACATAACAACCTCAGTTTTTGCTTTTGCAACCTAGTAGGCCTGTAAAATCTAATGATACATACTAAGTGCTTTTTCCATTTATAGCTATATACATGCTTTTTGTATAGCACAAATGAAGCTTTGTTTTTTCCGGTAAGATCACTCACCAGATCTATAAGTACGTATATATTTGATGACTAGAGCTAATTTGGAAAGTATTCACTTTCCTTTGAATTGTGAATTATTGTTTCTGATTAAAGTATGCAACTGATGTTTATGTTCAGGTCTTCATCCTAGGAGAAGAGGTTGCTCAATATGATGGAGCTTACAAAGTGTCCCGAGGGCTGTGGCGCAAATATGGAGACAAGCGTGTAATCGACACTCCCATCACTGAGATGGGTTTTGCTGGCATAGCAGTGGGGGCGGCCATGGGGGGGCTGAGGCCTGTATGTGAGTTCATGACTTTCAACTTCTCCATGCAAGCCATTGATCAGGTTGTCAACTCAGCGGCTAAAATGTTCTACATGTCAGCTGGTCAGGTGGGTATTGCCATGTTTGCTGCAGCTTTCCAAATGAGATACCGGTATGATTAATGTACAGTCAACATGCCTTAAGTTGAAAATTCATTTGCATTTTGCTATGTTCAAGTTTTCATAAGAATGAGAAATGTATATTTTTTTCAACTTCTCTGCTGGTGTTGTCAATCCTTTCTATAGGCAGCTCTGTCTGGGAAGTTATAAGATGTTTTGTCATGCAAAAAAAGCCCTAGGTAATCAATTAAATCCAATATGTACCTAGGTATTTGTAGGTTTCATATAATTGTAAAAATGGCTGTTGCTTGCCATGCTTTTTATTTCATCATACCTGTCTCATTTTTAAACACTTTCTACGGTTCCAATTATATTTTATGCTCAACTGCATTCTGTGACTTGTGCATTTTAAGAAGCTTCCTATTTGTATTTCAAGTGATAATTTTTTAATTTGATAGCAATGAATTACTCAATTGGAACATTTGTCATTGATTAATTTGTTATTATTTTTTCCAGTGTCACGTCCCAATTGTGTTTCGTGGAGCCGCTGCTGGTGTTGGTGCTCAGCATTCGCAGTGCTTTGGGTCCTGGTATTCTCAGTGCCCGGGTCTGAAGGTAGGCTGCCTCTGTTCTCTGAACCACCATTGGTGCCACTTTCTAGGGAGAAGTGGTAGCCCTGCCTCCAATACAGTGTGACGGGCAATATTAGAAAAAACTTTAAAATAGGGATTGAAGCTGTGGGTCATTGCTGTTGCATCAATTGGTTCTGCTGCAATATTGTCAAAAAATATTTATTCACGCTAATAATTGTATTTGAAACTAGTTTTCCCTTTCAAATTGCAAGTTGAAGAGCTGCAAATGACGAAAAAAATGCTTTTCTGTTGCATGGATTAACTGCTCCTGAAGTTCATTTCACTAGTTGACCTTTTTTTTCTGTGCAGGTTGTCTCCCCATTTTCTTCAGAAGACTGCCGAGGACTACTGAAGGCATCCATCAGGGACAGCGACCCGGTGGTGTTCCTGGAGAATGAGCTGCTGTACGGCGTGCAATTCCCAGTTTCTGATGAAGCTCTCGACCCTAACTTTGTGCTGCCCATTGGCAAGGCCAAAGTCGAAAGACAAGGTGAAGTTTTTGCTCGCCAAATTAAGGTGATAATTTGTTTATTTAAAGTTGAATGAAGCTTTTCCTCTATTCCGGATTTCAATAAACAAAAATAAATTTGTGGTGCCCTATTATTATTCAGTTTCTTGCGTCCCTGCCAGCTGTCTCGTATCATAATATTTAGCTATGATTTTCTGCAATGAAATTAACGCGTCTTACTACGCATTAATGACATGCAAACAATCTGATGACGGCTACTGAAGGTCTCACTTCCTCATTATTTTGGTGCAGGGCATCACATGACGTTACTGACATTAAAATCATCGTCTCACTCCCTCAATGTGGTGCAGGGCATCACATGACGCTACTGATACATTAAAATAATTGTGTCTCACTCCCTCATTACTATGGTGCAGGGCATCACATGGCGCTACTGACGTATTAAAATCATCATCTCTGTCATCACTGTGGTGCAGGGCATCACATGACGCTGCTGACATTATAATCATCGTCTCACTCCCTCATTACTGTGGTGCAGGGCAGCACATGACGCTACTGACGCATTAAAATCATCGTCTCACTCCCTCATTACTGTGGTATCAATGAACATAAATACATTTTTTGTCTCCTATTATTATTCAGTTTCTTGCATCCCTGCCAGCTGTTTTGTGTCATAATATTCAGCTATTATTTTCTGCAATGAAATTAACGTGTCTTACTCATGCATTAATGACATGCAAACGAGACAACGACGGCTATTAAAGGTCTTACTTCCTCATTACTGTGGTGCGGGGCATCACATGACGCTACTGACATTAATATCATCTTACTCCGTCATCACTGTGGTGCAGGGCATCACATGAAACTACTGACATTAAAATCATTGTCCCACTCCCACATTACTGTGGTGCAGGGCATCACATGACGCTACTGACGCATTAAAATCATCATCTCACTTCCTCATCATTGTGGTGCAGGGCATCACATGACGCTACTGACATTAATATCATCATCTTACTCTGTCATCACTGTGGTGCAGGGCAGCACATGACACAAGTGATACATTAAAATCATCATCTCACTCCCTCATCATTGTGCAGGGCATCACATGACGCTACTGACGCATTAAAATCATCTTCTCACTCCCTCATCACTGTGGTGCAAGGCATCACATGACGCAATTGACATTAAAATCATCGTCTCACTCCCTCATCACTGTGGTGCAGGGCAGCACATGACGCAACTGACATTAAAATCGTCTCACTCCCTCATTACTGTGGTGCAGGGCATCACATGACACAAGTGATACATTAATATCTTCATCTCACTCCCTCATCATTGTGCAGGGCAACACATGACGCTGGTGGCGCACAGCAAGGCAGTGCAGCTGTGCCTGGACGCGGCCACGGAGCTGGCGGGCGTGGGGGTGGAGTGTGAAGTGATCAACCTGCGCTCGCTGCGCCCCCTCGACACGGACGCCATCACGCAGAGCGTCCAGAAGACCCATCACCTCGTCACCGTCGAGCTCGGCTGGCCCCAGTGTGGCATAGGCTCTGAGATCTGCGCTAGGATCATGGAGAGTGAGTGTGATGGTGGAGAGCTGAGACAATGGTGGAGAGTGAGTGTGATGGTGGAGAGCAAAGACAATAGTGGAGAGTGAGTGTGATGGTGTAGATCTGAGACAGGATAGTGGAGAGTGAGTGTGATGGTGGAGAGCAAAGACAATAGTGGAGAGTGAGTGTGATGGTGGAGAGCTGAGACAATGGTGGAGAGTGAGTGTGATGGTGGAGAGTGAGTGTGATGGTGGAGATCTGAGACATTGGTGGAGAGTGAGTGTGATGGTGGAGATCTGCACCAGGATCATGGAGAGTGAGTGTGATGGTGGAGATCTGAGACAGGATAGTGGAGAGTGAGTGTAACGATATTTATGTATCAGCCTTTTATTAACTTGGATTGACAAAGCTAGTTTTAGTCTGCCTGACTACTGAGTGAATCCAAATTTGTTCCATGTTTATTCTCCTTAATATTTTACCGATGTTGTTCGTATAATTAGTGTCTGATGCAGTTCTGTTTGAACTGTTAGGTATAACTGGTTGAATAGGTACATGTATGTGTATATAAAATTTCTCTTTAGGTACAACTGGTTGAATGCATGTATGTGTATATAAAATTTCTCTTTAGGTATAACTGGTCGAATACATGTATGTATATATGAATTTTTCTTCAACTCTCGTTTCCTTATTACAGCTCCGTCATTCCACTATCTGGAGGCGCCAGTGATCCGCGTGACGGGCGTGGACCTGTCTCTTATACACANTACTACGGTACTACTAGTTTAAAAAGTTTTATGAGGTTTCAAGATGAAACTATAAAAAAGAAGTGACACTGATGAATAAGTATTAAGGTTCAAGGCTTAATTATTCTCTGCCTCAATTGAAGACATGAAAATGGATATAATCGAATCAGGTTGAAGAATACCGTCAAGGTTTCTGTTAGCCACTCGACATCAAATGAATATTTCACGAATTTTGAAAAGCTTTTGTGCGATAGCCGGAGGTTTATTCGCAGAAATATAAGTTACAACTCCTTCATTCTTGTTTGCAGATATCTTCGCGTAGACTTGTGCAAGACTAGTGATGTTTCAATGTGTTTTGTATCGCTTTATTTCAGCATCATTTAATGATAGAAAAAAAACTCCACTAAAATCCATTCTCTCTTTATAGAAAACGTTTCGGAGTCTAGCTCCATCGTCAGTTCAGGAATTCTATAACACGGATAAATCAGTAATTAGTAAAGTCAAGATTACAAAAAAACTAAACGGTAAAAGCTATCTATTTTCAATTTTAAGTGGGTAAGAGCTAAAAGCTGAATGTAAACTTTGCCTTTGTTTAGAAATATGCAAAGATTCTAAAATGCGCAGATCAGAAACACCGGAAGTGTACGTAAGCTAAAACCTTAAAGTCACTACATATCAGAAATTGGAACCTCTTACTGCTCGGCGTGAGTGCGCACAGCCTTATAAGGAGGGCGCGATAGTAACAGACCAGTTCTACAACTCTTCCCCCTATGTTCTGCGACCCTAAAATAAAAATTGCGAGACGTCATCCCAACGCACGCAGATGCACATCGTGCACAACTATATAGACTATGGACGCTCGCATATGCATAGGGAGGGTATCTTTGTACTTGAAATAGAACCAACTTTAAAATTGTTCACCAATTAAACGCGAAGATTAACATTTGGGAAGTACTTTGAGAACTAAAGTTTTAGCTCCCTTGACATAGTTTCGGATTCAGGGCCGAAGTATGGAGGAGAGTTTTCTTTGTTTTTGTAAACTTTTCTTTGCTTTTAATGCTTTTTAAGTTTTTAGTGAATTTGCGGTTCAACGAACGAGTGAAATTAATGATATACAAAATTGATGTTCAAATAAACCTATGTTTTTGGTTAGGAACTTGTTGCAACTGAGAGTAATTTTCTCTAAAACAAGTACTTGCCTATTCTCAGGGAGGCCTAAAATTAATAGAGTTTGTGGAAAGTGAGCATAACTTCACTATTAGACTAACTAGTTCTATACTGTAAAACTTATATTTAGGTTATCGATTAGTAAAAATTCATGACAGTGTAGGGGGATTGATTTATGGATCGTTGATAGATATGTTTAGGAAATTATTAATGGTTAATGTAAGAATCTTGTTAACATGAGAAATTGTACCAAATTTTGGTAGCTATCTGTTATTTTTTGGTGAGGGGGCTCGTGCGATTGTTGTTATTGTTATATCCCATTACTATTTTTTTATAGTAATTCGAAAGTTTGTTTTATAAACTTCTCCAAAATTGAGCAATAAATTGAGCACATTTTCGGGTTCTTAACTCGATATGATTGAGAGTATAATTATGATGTCAGTCCACTTCGAAAAGAACAAATGGTGAAAGTAAGCACTAGACATGCGGAATGCGTCTCACACCCCTTAACAAACTTACCAGGTTTGCATGAATTAATATTTGAGCGAGCGGTCTTAACAACTTGCTGATCATTCTCTCAAGCGCTCTTGTCCCTCATGGTTAGGCTATATTTTTTTTGTTTATCCTAGGACGCCTGGTGATCGCCACATGTGTTCAGTCGTTGAAGTTAAGCGTACTGAAGCGACTGCCTTGTGTAGTTGCTTCATGACCCGTCCGTCTTCCTCTTCACTTTGACTTTTCCAGCCCTTTTAGCTGGCTTTCTTATCCCCAGCTTTGTCTCTTCCATCATGTCATAACTGGACGGAACTTTCAATATTGTCAATATAATTTGCTTGCATTGGTCTTCAAGTTCATACATTTTTTGCCATCAAAGTTTTTCCGGCTGGTGTGAAAAGACGCTATTTCTTGTCAATGTCGAATCCATTTTTCTCAAAAAGTAATGTCTCTATTACTACTTCTTATCGCGAGTTGAACTTCTCTCATACGTTCAACTGGAATACGTCTAAGTTGTTTCTGTTTTACGAGTTGTTTTTTGTTGCCCGTTTCAATTGACGATGCGCTGACAGTTCGCTAGAGTTTGTTAGTTTGATGAATTATTAATGTAAAGTTTGATTTTTCCCTTGTTATTTTGTTTCTCGTTCGTTTTGTTCATGGATAGAACCTTAATATGACGGAAAAGATCGCTATGTTTGTTATTGTTTTGTTCAGTGAATTATCTGCGTGAAATTTGACCACGAAAGAGAAAAGTTTATTAACGTGACGCTGAGGCGAGATGAGCGTCGGAGACTGATATTTTTCCGAGGTGGTCCGCCTTTTTGTTTGTACATAGCAAGTTTGTACAAATAAATCTAAACGTTATCTTGTTCTTTTATTCCCAATGCTAACTGTTTGAGAAATCAAATCAGCAATTTGAATAGAAATTCGATGTTTGGACAGCACGAAGATGTGAATCAACAGATGGTGCAATCTGTGGCATTGAGCTTTTTGTAATTTTTTCCTATAGTTACAAAAAGTTGATGTTTTCATCAAAAATGGTTTTCTAAAGTCAGAATTAAAAGTTGAATAATAAAGTTATTCACTCCACATTACCATTCACTTAGAGAAATGTCCTGAATAATGTTCTAATTAATATCCAGGAAGCTGTTGATGTTTATCAGTCGAAAATTGTGACCGTAGTTGGACAGATAGCTCCATCTGACCCTGCGTACGCTATTGCCTTAACTGTAAACTCGATAACAATTCCTGCCTTCCAATACTAGTGTGATAGTTATTTGGAGGATTACCGCGAATTAACAGTTACCATAAAAACTAAAACTACATCGTTAGAATTACTGACTTCAGTCATCAACTGGTAATCGTGACTCCATTGTAGGCAGTTAGTTTAGTGGCCATAATTGCCTGCACTTCAGTATGAGTTATCGCGCGCCGAATGTCACGTGCGTCACGACCTAAGGATCAGACAGCATCACATGTATTACATGTTGAACTTGAATACTGTCGAACATTTTTATTACTCTCGGGTACTCCATGAGGCGGTCGAAACTATAAGCTCCACGCTCTGGTGGTGCCAGGATACTTTTTTTAGGTGTGCGTCGAGGTCAGCTCGCGGTACGTGATAAAATATTGTCGACGGGCATCTTCAAAAGATGGGGGAGGAGGTGGATCACTGCCTTGGCACTAGGCAGTCCATGCAGTAAAGGGAAGACGGGCGTTCCATGAGATGGCCGTGTGTGATTCCGGTCTGTTCAATACGGAGACGAGTTAAGCATACCTCACTTGACGTGCGCGGTGGCACGAAAACAGCCAACGCCAGACACTCTCTTTGATTTTCCGGATTCGTTATTTTCAGGGCGTGCCCACTCATCTTGCCACTCGTTGAGCAATATTTTACGGAAGATATGGTAGTGATCCCGCAGAGCTCATCTGCGGTTACCTGGACATGGCCAGGGTCCCAGCAGAAGGGAAACTATCTGATGGCTCGAGGAGATACGAATTAGTCAGCTATTTAATATGTATGGTGGTAACTAGGGGGTGCGGCGTGTTGAAGATTAGGATTGCTTGAATAGCACTCAGGGAGTCGCTCACTGAATATGCACATCTCCAGGTTTGTTTTTCCTCTGGCTTTAGCGAGGGCGCACAGAATGCTTTGGAGCTCTTCAATTATACCCAATTTCCATGCAAAAACTTGTTTTGCCGCGCAGGAGGTCTCATGAGGGAACCTCCAGTTTTCAGCGGTTGTCGTACTCATTGTCGTCAAAGTCATCGTTGTCAAACTTTATTGTTTTTAATTTTCTTAAGTGCAAGCAAACTTCGTGGCTGTGTTTTTTTTCAAGTTACAGACTTGCCACACTGAAGCACAATTTTTGTTACCAGTGCTAAAATTTCCGATGTGAGGAAATTTTGCTTCTCACTGTTCGACCAATATGTGATAAGAAAACTATTCAAGTTTCATCAAATGGTTAGGAAAATGTCCATACTTCTTTGTTCGAGCGTAGTGGCCCCAGGGTGCTCACTGCTCGCCGATGCGGACGCTCTATTTGTCCTGAGCTGCGGATTTGCTTAACGGTCAATCAACGGAGTGAAGCTCCGGACTGAACTCTAATGAGACGATCGCTGTCATTTCAAAGCCGTCTTCACTGCAGACAACACGGTCAGTCTGTATTGCCATTTATTCATCAATGCACATCACATAATGCATCACGCGATGAGATCAGATAGCTTTATAGCCTTTATAGGCGTTTAAATGCTTCCTTTATCAGCTCATGTATTTATGGTTGAAATGTCGCACAAACATCGTGTTGTCAGTTGTCTCCTTAGCACATTGCAGATTTCTTTTCAATGAGTGGAAAATGTTGGAACAAGCGAAGAAAACATGCTTCTTAAAGGGAGGATCATTATTCGATAAATTCAAGTTATATTTTCTGTAGTGAATTCTCAACCCTGATGTAATTTCATCAACATTGCTCATGATTATCTATTCAAGTGCCCCCTACGATCGAAATTCTGTTTCAATGAATTTTTTACAACAAAATCCAATAATTATACATTTTTTGGTTGATAATTTTATATATGGACTCGCATATTGTTTGATTTGTGAGAAATTTTTATTTTGTCGCAGATGAAAACCAAGATTTCCCTGTTGAATATTTGCCTCCTATTCTTGGTTGCGGAGAGGGGAGCCCATGGTCGCTCCCCTATTTCTGTGCCTTGGAATATCGTCCGACACGAGGAGCTTCGATCACCCAAAGAAAACTTCACCTCCGAGAACATAACATCCTTTGTGAGGGCAAACCAGGAGACAAACAAGTCAACGATAAAGCAAACACTCGTTGTGTCTGAGACACCGAGAAAATTCAGTTCTTCGTCTCACCGAATACTGCACCAGGGAGTGAACTTGGACGTTACTAAACTTCTCGATGAACTTGACTCGGTCGTGAAAAAGTTGCACAAAACGATACATGGTTCGTCGGTACGTGGTCCTTTACCTACCAGCAGGACGTTTGCTGACAGCAACCCACGCCACAGAGTCTCGCAAATCGTCGGGAATCTCCGCGAAGTTTTTCCTTACCTACAAATTGTGAGGACTAAACGTGAATCCAACAACTCAAGCATGTCAGAAGACGAGACAAGCAGCGATGAAAGTAAAACTAACTTCAAGAATCAAACCACACAAGACGGCATGCCTGAAGAAGATGGACATGAATATCTGCAGAGTCTACGCTACTGGTACATGGTAGGTACCGATTGGTTGAAGTCATGGAGTGAATCTTTATCTTACGTCAATGAACGAATTTTGCAGTCGAATTTTACCGATGAGTATCTGAAATTGTTTAATGGCTATCTGAAGCATTTCAATGTGCATATCGAAACTCAAGAAGAGTACAATCAAGCACAAGCCACGTACGCAAGAACTGAAAATACAACAAGACCTATTCGACCTCAGAGAAAAAAACGTTACATTTCACAGGACTCTTTCGACGACTCGTCCAAGCTTAGTTATTCCGTAGGGTCCGATGACTACACTTACAACGATCCTTCCTCCCTCAAAGAAAAGCTTCGGGAGTCTCTGATGCGTTTAAACAAAATTCCAAGTCGTGAGAAACCGTACCTCGAAGAACGTGACGACGGCTACGGTCACGCCAGTCACGGAGGATATGGTGGGGGTCAGAGCTACGCTCACTTGGACCCTTACCTCGTGTTAGCAGCGTTGGCAGCTTGTGTCTTCTTTGGAGTGATAGCTTTATCTTTGTACTGTATGCTTAACCCCATGGCCTGCTGCGCTCCAGCAGCTAACACCACTGCATCTGAAGCACCTTCTCCCAATACACCTTTGCCCACTACAACACCAGGTCTTTTCTATTGAGGTATTATTTGTTTACCGCGAGAAAACAGTTGATGCTTAAAAAAACTTCCTAAAATTTGGGTTTCCTTCTTGATATTATGCTTATTTAAAGTTTTAAAAGGCGCACGCGGCCCCCACACAAAAAAGAATCGATGCAGGAAATTTCTTCGTAACTGTTTATTATGCTCAGATTTACAATACAAGTAAAATTCAACCTCGCAAATAATTGGTTTTTAGTACAATTTTTTATATCTAGTTTGAAACCTGATGGTGACACTTTTCTCTTTAACAATCTTAGCCATATGCTGCGTAGCATGTTTTACTTATTCTTCTAAAGCGTGTTTAGAATTGGACAGCAACACGAAAAAAGTTATTAGAAATGAAGAAAGAGTTTGATTAAGCCAACAGCATCATATGAGTATAATAGAAATGTAACATCTGAGGATCGCGCATACAACGATAGCGTACTATACTTACATGTCATTTTGGTATTTATAATTGGTGGTATGTTCATTATGCTTCAATTCATTAACATTGATCAACAAATTTTGACTGCGTTTAGAGAACGTGAGATAAAAGTTATCTATGTCACCGAGGCTCTCTATTTAATAATATTATTTTTTGGAAGGAGATCTGGGTTGAATTATCTTCGGGGCTTTGTACAAAAGGTCATATTGGTATTTGCAAGAAGATTCATTTGAAATCAATCCATCTGTACTTTTTCGTATCGATTTACGAATAATAAAATATTTGTATATTTTAGTTTGTGTAATCACCGCCAAGATGTTGTTAGATTATTTTATTTGAAATTTAGGATTTCTACACTAATGCGACATTCCTTCGTGTAATAGACTTTAATGAATAATTTAGGTAAGGGAATGAAAATCTTTGAACTATTATAAGAATTGGCTGGAATTGTGAATTTCATAATTATCCATATGCATTTATCAAACGGCTCCACTGAAATTTACGTAGGGAATTTCGCCGTTGATCAGAAGTATTTTACGCTGTAAAGACGAGTGTTTATAAGACGACGCTCTCGAATGTGGGTATTTCAGGAGTAAAGATACAATGTGCACGTACAGGGCATTATTATTATTATTATAGATGTTGATCAGTAATCCTTCAATTATTCTCTATTTATACTATTTAAAAATTCAATGGATTTGGAGACAAATATGCCTACCAATGAGCATTAAATTTCTCACTGCTATAATATGACATTTTATTTCCCTTGAACGCGATGGGAATCTCTTATGTACCTTCGTGTTGGAAGTGGTGTAGTTATTGTGAATGGTTTTTGGAGTTTTCTAAACATTTCCGGAAATGCTATATTGTTTGAATAGGGAAATTAATGATTTTGAGCCAATGTCTCGCCGCTCAGTTTTTCTAGCCAATTTGCATAGCCAAGTTGCATAGCCAATTTAAATAGCCAATTGACATAGCCAATTCAAGCGATGCTCATCTGAAAAACGATGATCGATTTCGCTTACGATTTTTTCGGAATCGATGAAAGTAAACATTTACATATGAGACTTGGAATGCGTAACTAAAGCACTGGCCAATGATTACTCAAAGCAAAATAAAATCATTAGAAAAGTGTTACTTATACAACGGTGTCATGTGAAATACCTTATTTTAAACAGTAGAAGAAAACCTATATTTATATTGACAAAAATGCCAAAAAGGAAGAGTGTGGATCTCAATCACGTAATTATTTGCATTGAATTAAAATTTCGTTACCTAAACATTAACTCATTAAATTGATACAACCAGCAGGTGGTTTAGAAGCATCACAAACCTGGAAGGCTTATTGTGTGTGTTGGTCATATTCACTAAATTAGATGATAAACTCGACTCGATGATATTAGAAAGATCGGCACGAAAATAATTATCGATATTTATAATCAGTTGGAAATAGAAATAAGCACGAAACTATGAAATATAATTAATTTAAATATTATATTTTGAATAAGAAAATATGAAAAAACATCGGTAGCGTCCAAGCCTTACAAAGTAGCTCAAAATATCTGCCGCGTAGAACTTCTTATTAAAAACGAGAACCAAGAGCATAGAAAATAGAAGAGAAATTTAAATACAGCGTGTCGGCGTATAGTTTTTAAAGCTCAACTGTCATGCCTGCCTTGTGAANGTTTTCCGATGATCATGCGTTCTATGATAGTTTAAAGTTTTCCGATGATCATGCGTTCTATGATGGTTTAAAGTTTTCCGATGATCATGCGTTCTATGATAGTTTAAAGTTTTCCGATGATCATGCGTTCTAGGATGGTTTAAAGTTTTCCGATGATCATGCGTTCTAGGATGGCTTAAAGTTTTCCGATGATCTTGCGTTCTATGATGGCTTTAAGTTTTCCGATGATCTTGCGTTCAAGTATGACTAAATTTTTTCGATGGTCATGCGTTTTCTGATTTTTAAATTGCTCCCAAGGTATAATGGGGTCCACGTACAGAGTCTACAGTGGGTCTGTGCAGCATTAGAATAAGGTCTGTGGAGTATTAAAATGTGGTCTGTGGACCATTATAGCGGTGCAGTACAACTGGCTAATAAATAATTAATAAATAATGAATGCACGCCATGCACCATCTGTGATGGCAGGTACGTGGAAATGGGCACGTACGTCTCTTCCAGCCTGATAATTCCAATCAACCCATGTTATAAGAGCGTGAAAATATCTCCCTTAGAAACATGTAAAGAAAACATAACCGTTTAAAAAAATAACTAAGAGAGAGAGAGAGATCGATTTAAAAATCTCCACATGAGGTCGGCTGATCGAGAGATCAGTAGGCGGAGGATTGGGATCTGTTTGTTGTTACGGTCTCCCTAGTTTGCTGGATCAGAAAATTTGCGTGACTTTGTACGGAGTAGAAGCACGTCTTTTGTATGCAGTGTTTGTTATGTTGTTGAAGACGAGCGATGTGTGTACAGAGAAATTGTTAGTGCTGTGTTCTAGATAGGGGCAGGTGTGAATTTAAAACAGAACTTGAATTTGATTTGAGAATTGAATAAATGTGAATTAAAATGAAATGTAATGTTTTACATAATTCATGAAGGAATTGATGAGAAGGAAATTCATTTTTGACTAAAGAAAGAAAAAAAATAAGAAATAGATTAAGCAAAATATAAGTCCGAGAATAAGTAGCAACAAAACTGTGCAGAAAATGCAGGATCAAAAATATTTTGTGACCAAGATTACTGCAAAATGATGTGAAAATCACGTACACGTATTTTACATGTCTGCACGTATGAAAAATTTTCGCGTAAAAAAAGGGTTACTTTTTCGTCCGCAAAAAACTTGAAAATTTAAACATGTTTCATCAAAAATTGTTCAGTTGTATTTGTAAATTATATGCTCTACTGTCAATGATGAAATAGTGAAGAAAAATATTTATTCTTTAAACATATAAACTTACAAGTCTCAATTACTGCTTACTCATCACTCAGCCTTTTTAAGTATATAACCTAGCAGCTTTCTGATGCAACTTTCTGCTCTTCTAGCTTTCAAAATCATGTTTTATACTGTTTTGCGGAGAAACGACTAAATTTTTACATTAAATGATTGATTGAAGTACACTTGACCCAATTTTCATTTTAAAGACCGGCCGTTCGTTAAACTGTAGATTCAAAAGTTAATTCATTTATAATGTCAAAAGCTTTGAACTGAAATTCGTGCAAGTGGCAATTTTAAATTCGACGCACCACAAGGCAGTGCGCATTTAAAGTTGATGCTCACGCTGAGCTTATTGTACATGTTACTGGTAGATTGTTGCTCATCAAGAACCCGATAATAAATGCGAAGAAATTTATAATTTAGTTGAGATGTTAAAGTGTTAATCCGCTGTAAATTAAAACTGATCATGCATATTTATAAGTGGCCATCGTTTGATTTCTCTAACTACTAACTTTGGGTAAGAAATGCAAGATATAATGCTAAAATTGAGGTATTTTTTTACCATTGATTGTTAAAAAATTGTGATTTTGGTGCTTTTGCATGGCTTTATACATTTTGCAAACGATAAATTATTGTTTTCAACGGTAAGATTACAATAACGAATGTAAATTTTACATCGCATTTAAACGAACGATCTCCTGACAGCATCATATGTTCAACACAAGCAAGATTTCCAATAAATTTTTGCCTTTGAGTTCTGAATCTGGGCTAAGCTAATAAAAAGCGTCGCTCAAATTGATTAGAGCATTAATGAATTATGTTAAAGAGATTCATAATTAAAATAGATACACTACTTTTAAGTGAGGAATGATTCATTTTAGATGAAAAATATTAATGTCTCTCATTTAATTTATTAAAATATAAATATTATGTGAGGAATTACTTATTTAATTAACATGCATGACTATCTCAGGTCGAGATTTCAAAGTCCTTATACTATTTGGCACTCAATAAATGAAAATAGTTCTTATACTCCATAGGTTTGCATATTTTTAGCGTAGCGCTTGATGAATGCCTGTTTTATTTGAAACATAACTGATCAAATAGTTTTATTTCAAGCAAAACTGATCATAACTGGCTGGCTGATCAAATAGTTAGTACATATAATTTAACTCCATAACAATTAAAATAGCCTCATTTAATAACATTGCATATTTTCCGTATTGCTCAACAAAATTTCTTGAAATCAGTATAGCGACTTCGTTTAAATAGATTTTGCAGCACCGTTTTGATGAGCCTTCAAAGGCGCCTTAAGAACGCCTGATTTCAAAGCTTAACTGAACGCAATTGACCTGGAAACTCTCCTTCACTATTTGAATGAGCCGGAAGAAGAATGTGCGAGTTACCGTTCATGAATTACGTCCCTGAATTAAAGTGAAGATCCGTGCACAATTTAGTCTTGAGAGCGAATGGTTGTGGATAAGAAGATGGACGAAAATTATTTTTATATACAGAAATGTATTTTCAAGAACTTGAAGTTTATGCTGGAAAAAATATATTATTTACAGATAATTTTTCTGGTAAATTAGATTTCACATCAAATCGTAATTTCATCCCGTGAATCTCATGAAAACTTAAAATAATTAATTTGTGCTCTGCGTTGCGGCTAAAATGTGAATAATTATAACTGCAAAACTCGGCTTTAGTACTTACATTTATTCTTCGTCATCATATCCCATGGAACGTGAATAACGATGAAAATATCACAACTGTAATATAACATGCAGCTATTGTTTACTGGAGATATCTGAATTAAAATTTGTAAATTCCGATTTGGGAACAGTTTTACTAATTTCCTGCTCTATTGACGATGTATAGTCTCAGAATCAGCTAATTTTTCAATACTTCTCCTAACTTTATTAACAATTAATAAATTGATAGAATAAAATAAAATTCATTACCTTCAGTTTAATAAATTTTTAAGTAATTACATTTTTCTCCATTTATATTTTCGCATTCTATTAAGATCATACGTAAAAAGTAAATAAAAGTTTTGCTGATAATGTTAGCGCGTTTACATGTAATTCCACGTATATTGTTCAAGAGACACGCTCCCCTGGTTCATTTGAAAGCACACAAACATGTTCTAAATTACCAGACCCAGCGGTGCGCAGCGGACATGTCAAAGCTCTGTGCCAAAAATTAGCAGATTAATCGTGTTTGTAGGGAGAGCGCGCGCGCGCATGCGCGGCGACTGAATCCACAAACTCCGGAAAGAAGCAAAGGCGAACCGCGGAAACTTTGGCCCAGAACCGCGCCGCCAAAGTCTTGAAGTTTTCGGGTCACTTGCTCTCGGTTCTTCGTAATAAAATGTAAAACTAAAAGTTGTAGAGAAATTTTCTTCTTGTTTTGTTTTCATCAAGAACTCCACTATTGAGAATCGTGCTCGAATTCGTTATTTTTCGGATTCGCGAGTAGAGCCCTGAGTTAATCCCATGGGAAAACATTGACTACTCTCTCCCTCTCAATTATATATAAATTATATCTCTATTAAGTGAATAAAATGTATTTGTATACACTCAATTTATCTATTTGATTTAATAGGCATCTAATAGTTTTAGCAGAATTTGAACATCGACTCA